TAAATAATAATAATAAAAACATATAATTTTTGTTATTTATACTTTAAAGAATCATAACATTAGCTTACGTGCAAAATTTCAGCGTTCTAGCTCTTCAACTAATATGATTTCTGGTATATCGAAAAATGCATTTTCCGATTTGCCACGCCCCTAGTGGGCGGACAGGATAATTTCAACACTTTATAAATTAGAGATATACACGAGTATGTGTTCTAGATTCGGACAGACGGGCAGTCGGACAGATGGACGGACAGCAAGACGGACAGCAAGACGGACATTGCACAAAATCAATATACTAAATCACTTTCGTGAATGAGTATAATAAATAAACGTATTTTTTAATCCAAGCGAATTACCGAAAATGAATTTGAAAAGGAATGTCAAAATACTTTTGTCCAGCCAAAAACTGAGAATCTGCCATGCAAATAATTATAAAAAAAAATAATGAGTCATGTTATCAATGCAATATTTTGGTCACTTATAGCTTATTATGTTTGCTCTCTCTGAAAAATGTATTGAGTACCGTTACCCCTCTCAGCACGCAGAACTATGAGGTTCAAGTTTTCGCAATATGTTGTCAAAATACTTTTTTCCTCCATTGCACATTGGGCCAGCGAGCCGATTTTTCGACGAAAATTCAAATTTATTATGGAAAGTAAAACTATAATGATTTTGGCTTTAGCTATTTTCACTAAAATTAAGGAACAGAAAGTCCAGGGTATGTAGAAAAAAATTTTGTTCACGTTTCTTAGTGTGTTTTTTGTGTGCGTTTCTTTGAGCTGTCCAAAAGTAGAAAAAGCTAACCTTTTAACTCGTCTGTTGTGGATTATAACTAATTTTGTGCCAAGTTGTGCCAAAAAATAATTATGTGTATAGTGCAAAGTGTATATAAACTAATGTAAAAAAAAAATTATTGCTCCATTTTGCTCCGTTGTGTATAAATCCCAAATATTGTAGCTGTGATTAAATTCGCCAAAGAGCAACTGCTAGAGATCTACATACAAAACAATCATCGCGAATCTGCCGTTTCGGGTTGCATTTATGATAAACTGAAAGAATTCTATTTAAGCCCGAAGAAAAAAAATGAAGTCAGCACCAAAGTGAGAAGCTTTTACCATTACATACAAAAGAACTTGGCAAAATTTAATATAAGTATGCCCAGATTTAAGACAAAACATACCAAATGGCTTTTGTCCAATATGGCTATAACAGTAAGTTCATTTTTATCTTCAAATCCTAAACCGTCAACATCAAGACCATTTGGACGCCTACCCATTGAACGTGTTAACGCCGCCAGAAGAGAAAACTGGTATCCGATTTAGCTGTAAATCAGGGTCACCACATATCTCTCCTTGCCACCGCGGTTTCGGCCGAAAATCGAACGAGAAAGATACATCCCTTGTGTTAAAAAATACATTTCTTACTCCGTTTAACCTTAATAAGGCGAGAAAAAATCTCGGTTCGACTAACGAAGGATGAAGCTTTAGCATATTTGCTTGAAAATATACATAAATTAATATAGAAGATGACTTTTTAGAACATTTTAAAATGTGAAATATAGTCATTTTGAATGCATTGTTATTTTTATACCCTGAACCCATTGAAAATGGGAAATCAGGGTATAATGTTTTTGTTAAAAAGCAGTGTTTAAAAAACTGCGAGCAGTTTTCGCAGTTCGCATTTTCGCAGCAGACAGCTTCCACAGTTTTTGCTTTTCTGCACATTAATACAAGACTACGCCTACGATCTGTTTCATTGTAACAAAGTATGCCGCAAGTGACTTCGGCAATTACAGTTACAAAAGTTACCAAAACAAACACTGTTAAAAAGTGCGTAACAGGCAGAAGAAGGCGTGGCAGACCCCAAAAAGTTTATATATTCTTGATCAGGGCGACGAGCTGAGTTGATATAGCCCTGTCCGTCTGTCCGTCCGTCCGTCCGTCCATCCGTCCGTCCGTCCGTCCGTATGAGTGCGTCGATTTTAGAAGTTGTAAGAGCTAGAGAGCTGAAATTTGGCATGCATACTCGTGAGTACCATACGCAGTACGAGCTTGCTTTATTTTTTCGATAAATCGTTCGATAACTTTTTTATCGAGAATAATCGAAAAATNACGGACGGACAGACGGACAGGGCTATATCGACTCAGCTCGTCGTCCTGATCAAGAATATATATACTTTATGGGGTCTGCGATGATTCCTTCTGCCTGTTACATACTTTTCACAAAACCATTATACCCTGATTTCCCATTTTCAATGGGTTCAGGGTATACAAATATTTTGTTCATGCCTGTTGATAAAAAAACTCATCATGCGTTTATTTGAGGTGCTCAAAAGTAGAAAAAAGCTAACCTGCTAGCCCGTCTGTTGTGGATTATAACTAATTTTGTGCCAAGTTGTGCCAAAAAGTAATTATGTGTCATTATAGTGCAAAGTGTTTTGGTCCATTTTGCTCCGATGTGTATAAATCCCTAATATTGTAGTTGTGATTGAATTCGCCTAAGAGCAACTGCTTGAGATCTACATACAAATTAAGCGTCGCGCATCTGCCGTTTCGGGTTGGATAAATTGAAATAATTCCACTTAAGCCCGAAGAAAAATGAAAGAAAAATCAGCACCAATGGGAGAATCTTTTAAAAAGAGCTTGGCAAAATGTAATATAAGTATGTCCAGATTTATGACAAAACATACCAAATGGCTTTTGTCCTATATGGCTATAACAGTAAGTTCATTATTATCAAATCAAGACCAGTTGGACGCCTACCCATAGAATATGTTAACGCCGCCAGCAGAGACAACTTTTATCCGATTTAACTGTAAATCAGGGTCACCGCGGTTTCGGCCGAAAATCGATCGAGAAAAATATATCATCCTTTGTGTTAAAAAATACATTTCTTACTCCGTGTAACCTTAATAAGGCTAGAAAAAACATCGGTTCGACTGTCGGATGATGAAGCTTTAGCATATCTGCTTGAAAATATATAGAAATTTATATAGCAGATCACTTTTATGAACATTTGTAAATGTAAAATTCTTATAGTCATTTTGAATGCATTGTTACTTTTTTTTATTATATCTTATTAATATTAAGGACAAGTGTTAAAACAATGAAATAAAAACATTTGTTGAATTTATAACTTTATAAAGTAACGAAATTATCCTCACTCAATTCCTTCAGTATTTTTGCTGAGTTCGAAATCATTTACGGGTTGTTTTCTAAATTCGAGCAGTTCCTTAGGCTTGGTAGTCCATAACTTAAAGTATTTACTTTTCAATTGTTGCCAAGCTAATTGATAATCTTTTGACAAGGCTTTTAGCTCGGAGTAACTCAAGTATTTAACCTCTTCTAACTTCAGGCCCAGTTTTTCACGCACTTCTGAGCAGCCTGATAGCAAATCCATAAAGTTTATGAATAATTTATATTTACTCACTTCCAACGCGGATTGCATTGTGTTTAGCCTCTGTTTGGTGACACCCTGACGCTTTCCATTTACTGCAATCTCAAATGGTCTATATATATA